AAATGTTTCATTACCCAGCTAGATAACATCTTCAGTGCTAGCACTGAAGATGTTATCTAGCTGGGTAATGAAACATTTGCAATCAAGCTCAGAGAACCCCAAGGAGTCCAAAGTTACAGTTATGCACAAAGCACTGCATTCAAGGGGGATTAACAAGTCTACCTGCCATCTTGCTATTATCTTAATTATCCCATAGGGTTTCAAAAAGTTATTCAGCTTATTGTATATCAGCTTACTCCTCCCCGTTTCTTAAACTAGCTCAAACAAGCCTGTTTTCAGTCTGGTTTGTCCTACCTTTCCAATGCAGAATGCAAGTGGGAAAGAAAATTTGGCTTGGAAGTAGCATATCAATGTAAGACACCATCCAAATGATTGCTACTGAGAACTAGTGCAGTAAATGAACCTGAATTTCCCAGCTGACAAAAAGGTACTAAAGAAACATGCTTAGTAAGTGGAAATTCTAATCCCTGAGTAACATCAGGGAACTTCTTAAGGCAGTTTTAGGGCTCTCAAAATCTGAAAGGCATCACTTACTCAACAGCCACCTGAAACTCCTATATATAAAGAGAATGAGTTTTGGACCCTGTTTCTAGAGCAATTAAGAGAAGCAACTTGGGCTAGGATACATCAAGCAGGGTGATAATTTGACTTACCCTTGAAATGGCTCTATATGTCTCCTGATACGTTTCTGCCTCAAAAGGAGGCTTTCCTACTAAAAATTCGTAACATAGGACACCAAGACTCCATAGGTCCACCTTTTCATCATGTGTCCTCCCTTCAATCATTTCAGGCGGCAAGTAATCAAGGGTGCCACATAGTGTTGACCTCCTAGGATAGCAAAGTATAGAGCAGCCAGAAAACCAAGTTACTTATCTAAAAAGCACTTGAGAGATGCTATTAATACTCACGTGCTACTCTTATTAGTATGTTTTAAGACGTTTTGTCTATGAATGTAAACCTAACCCTAAATCAGCGATGGTGAACCTTTTGGGCTTGGCGTGTCAAAATTTTGGAAAATGCCTAACTCTACTAGTGTGTCATCCCACCCACCCCCGAACAAAAGTGAAACGATTCTTTCATATTTTTAAAAAGTACAGTCCAATCATGTGTGGTGCTATGTATTACATAAAGAAACATCAAATAATTACAAAAATGAAATGCAAGTAAAACAAACTCAGTTTCTTTGGTAACTCAAACAGGGAGAATAGTTGTTGTCGGGTATTGGTGAACATTGGAGTGTCACTGTATTGTCGAAGGCTTTCGACAATACAGAGAACTGCTCCTGTCTGTGCTCCTGCACTCTGAAGATGCCGGTCACAGGTGCTGGTGAAACATTAGGAAACCAAACTTCCAGAACACAGCCACATGGCCACACAGCCCGGAAGACCCACACCAGTCATTGGAGTGTCACCTTTGACATGCTTGTCATAGGTTCGCCATCACTGCCCTAAATCTTTCTACCTTCTCCGTCCTCACAGTACTTGACATTTTTGCATATTACCAAAAACATTCCTTTCTCAAACTCAAATCCAAAGTAGCTTTGTAGAATATTAAATCCAACCCTACTCACACTTCTCTGCATATCTTCCTTACTCCCTTTTTATTAGAACTTATTTCTCTTGTCCCCCTTCTCCTTGGTTTCTAGGATATTACCAGTGTTTTCTTGCTGTTAGTTTATCCTATTTAGAATTCATATCTAGCTAGGATAGCTGGTGTGATATTTTGAGTTTGAATTCTCCATTAAGGGTTCCACTTTCTTATATATTTAATTATTAAATAAAATGGGTTCCTTCAGATTGTTAGATTTCACCTAACTATACGGTGGCCCATAGACGCTCAACATTTCAAAAATATACATTCTGAGATAATACATGCAGTAACAACTCTGAAAGAAATGCTAAAGCCATTGAATTCTGAGTTTTAGTTGGAAAAGGAACAGAAATGACATAGGGGTGAAGATTAGCTTAATTTACTTTGGTATTCTTCAGGAAAACATGGTTGCCAGCATTAGAATATGAACCCCAACTAATTTAAATATATTTTCAAATTAGAGTTATATCCTTCTCAACTGAAAGAATCAGAAATATTTAGCTATTTTTGTAAATTTTACTACTTATAGAAAAGCATGTTGTATATTCAGATAACACTAAGCTGATTCTACTCTCAAATTTGAGTATTAAACAGCCTCCTACCTAGAAGATGGAGCATGCACAGACCATCCAAAGTCAGCAATCTTGAGCTCTCCATTTGATCCCAGCAACAGGTTTTCAGGCTTGATGTCTCTATGAATTACTCTTTTTGAATGACAATATAGTAATGCATCTGCAAGTTCAGTCATATACTGTAGAAAAAACCAACATTTGCAATTAAGGCTTAACAAGTTCAGATAATGCAATTTAAACAGATATGGCCAATGATCATATATTCACCTTGTACTACTATAGCCACAAATGGTATAAAAACACTTAGAAACTGTCAGAAAAAGAATAGGAAACCTCTGTGCATTAGTCATATGCTACATTAATGGGCTAAATAGCAAGTCTCTACTACAGAATGGTAGCCCTGAACATTCCCCATAGCATAGGTTAAATAAGGCAAGGCTTTCTTCAATAGCCTTTTAATCAAGTTTTTCTTAATCATTATGGATCTCACCATCCTTTTACTAGTCAGATTACTGAATTATCACCATGATAATTTTAGAAAGGTCAACCTACTTTAGTTTGATCACAGAAGTCTGCTTTAATGCAAAGTAAACCTGCTCCAAAAATTAGCTTGGTTCCTCATACTTAGTAACCATTGGTCTTTACATACGAGTTGCTTGTAACTTTGTCCCAAAAGATTCAAAAGAAATTAATGTATTTATTTTGCACTTTTCTGGCAAGCAGGTGTTAGCACATTAAACAAAATTTGATTAGACCATACAAGCTATACTGAAGAACTCTCCAATATTGAATGTTCTATCAATGACTGGGATGCATATCTGGAATGCACTTCTGGAATCTTTGATAGTCAAGCAGTTTGTGAGAGTGGTTATATCTGTTATCTCAACTACTGAATGTGTGTCAACAACCCTTCCCAGCTTGGCATCCTCCAGATGTATGAGTCCCACTTTCCCCACTCACTGCTACATTTACATGATGGGTGAGAACAGCACTTTAAGTAACTCAAATTTTTTGTAGCCTGTGTGTCCCTCTTTTTTTCCTTTTGCTTATATTTTAAGAAATCTTCAAAAAGCACAAAGTCTCCAAAGGTGTATTTCTATTTTCAACGTTCCATGAAAAAAAAACCTATATCAAACATCTTTCACTGAGAAAAAATCCCTAACCATCTCATAAATTTAAGAACAAGAGAAACAGTACTCCACCTGGGTACATACAAATCAGATGACCAATGGAAAGAGTTTGCAACAGGATCATAGTATTCCCATCATTACTTGAAAGAAAATAATCAGATTTAATTGAAAACAGCTACAAGATTGCTAATTAGTTGGGAATGCAAAGGGCAGATCAAATCAGCTCAAGAATGGGCCTGTGAGGTTGCCCAGATATCATTTACCGTATTTTTCCGACTATAAGACGATACT